CCCCAAAACCCCAAAACCCCAAAACCCCAAAACCCCTTTAGCCTATAAAAAAATTGGAACAAGAGGAATATAATGTTTAATTCTAAATCCCCCGTTTCGAAATTGGCTAAAAGGATCCTCAAACTAAGATCCCCGAGACCTCGGAAGTTGTTCAGAGACCCTATTGTCAAAGACATGAAGGTGTCTCTAAAAACTAAAGGAAGGAGTCGCTGGAGTAATAATACGAAGAAGTCAAGGAGATGTATCCAAAGAAGTCTTAACAAAACTCTTATATCTCCTTCTAGATGTACTAATAGGGCTAACATAAAGTCGCCTTTGAAACTTGCGAACAAATTGATCCTCAAAAAGAGTAGGAAGACTAGTGATCCTACTAAGACTTCTTCTGAGCAACAAATCAAGGTTGAGCAGTTCAAGGTGCAACAGAAGGAGCATCTCTTTTGGAGAAGCTTTCATTCCAATATTATTGAGTACACTCAAAACAAGGTGGATGATGCAAAGATGGCTAGGTTTAAGCCCCTTACTTCCCCCTTGAGACTTATGGATAAGCTCACTCAAGTAAGAGAGAGGAACTCTAGGAGAGTTCTCTCTCCAGGTCTGCAGCCTAGAAGAGGCCTTCTGAGCCCTGAGAGTACCAGCGAGCAGCAAACATTTACTACAGCGAATGATGAGGCCCTTCTGAACTTTGAAAAGAACTTTAGAGCAGGGAGCTCTATTACATAACCTAATCTTTTAGTAACTTTGTAAAATAACTTTTTTGTTCTAGTTTAATTGAAAATTTGGTGGCCACAGTTCTGAAACCATTAAAGGGATATGTCCTCTATGAGAATTCTGGACGAAAAATTGTCAATTAAAAAGCCAATTGGTGTATAAGGTAGAAAGCATTGGGGAAAAGAAGGATCTTGACCAATTTCTCTTTCGTTGTTAATCCAAGGAGCTATATTTTCAAAAAATTTCAATATTCACTTAAATAATTAGCATGGATATCTTGATTATTATCATCGCATTAGGTTTATCTTGCTTCAAAATAATCTTTAGAGGCTCCAAATTTGTGATAAAATCTCTCTAGTATTGGAAAATTCAATAATAAAATTTTCAAATCCGGACCAGTTTTTACCCTTATATTTTTCTAACAATCATAACCTACAAAATTGTGCTAGAACTTAGAACACCCACCGCTTGCTTATTATATAATCATCAAGGGTTCTAAAATTGGAGGATCTTTAACTAAGCCAAGAGCCTCAGCAAATTGTCATCTAACTAGTATGCAATAAACGATGGCTCATGAATCCAAGATGTATTTTTATGCCGAAATTTTAACTTACTCATAAAGGCTTAAATTCTAATAATTATTCACCAAAGAAAGTATGAATGCATCGATAAGACTCAAGGGACACTCAGTAGTGATTTTTCACGGTCACTAGCCTAGGTTATTCAAGATTTGTCCTGACTTGTCTCCTTTACTCGATATTGGTATGTCTATAGATATGAAAAGAGATGAGCACTTGCCAGTTAAGTTATACTAGCTTATTCTTCCGAAATGTGATTACTTAAAAAATACTACTTAGCCAAGAATTTCATTTACTGCAAACTAGAGGGATGACAGCTAGCTAGACTGCTTTTATGAAGAATTAGTAGGATAAGGTTAGCGAATAGGAGGTACTATTAATTTACTAATAATTTCCCTGAAGAACTGCAATTTATGTAAGGGTGAAAAGTATTTTAGAACATCCCAGAACTATGAAATCAAAAATTATTAGGTTTAATGCGAATTAAGCCATGACAAAGCCATTTAATTATGGTCATAGACCTCTTTGCGATATTTAAATCAGTAACTTTACCAAAAGTTCACCAATCTCAAATTTCTGAAATTCTGAGCTAGTATAAAGCACTAATCACAATATCAATTTTCATAGAGCTCGAATAAATCTGAACATTAAATCTTCAAAGCAGGGAATAATTGCACAGAGTCATTACTCTTCCTCTCCACCCTTAGTAGCCCTATTATCTTAAGACTACGAGTCAGTGGCTTTAGTTATCTCTTTGTGAAAATATTTTATTCCATCTCTAATATGCTCCATATTTTCAAACTTATTATAGATTATTGATCACCAAAAGTCATAAATTTGTCGAAAAACATCATGCTTTGTTTTTAAAGCCCCTTAATTGTTCTAAAGTTTGAAGGGTTATATAGCCAAACTGTTAAGCCAGCAATATAATAGGACAATAAAGGATTGAAACCGACATAGTCCATAGCTTAATGTAAGGAGATCTTTTAAGAAACAAATGAAGTCTTACGTACTTTTCATGGCCTATTCCAGTCTTTCACCTGCGTTTTTGATTTTCAGAGAAGTCTGAACTAAGATAAATTTACTTCGAATAGTCTATTAAACTAAGGTTTTAGTCAATAAGTTTGAACTCTTGATGAACGCACTGCTTGGAGAGATGCTCCAATTGCTCTAGGAAAAAGCTTGAGCGACCATTTTCCAACTGGACTTGGATCAAGGTTTACTAAAAATATGCCAAATATGTTACCAAACAAAGATTCTTCTTCATGCATTTATTCAAACTTGATTTCATTTTTATTGAATAAATTCTTGAAAATGAACTTATTAACCTTTCAAAGGATCTCTTTCAGGGGTTTAAGTCCAATTTTGCAATATTTATAGCAACTTTACATGCACGAGGAAGCCAGGGACTTCTAAGAACTTCTAATGATTTCATACTTTAATTAGAAATTATGGCGAAGGATATAACCCAGAGTCATTAAACTGGCCTGTGATAAACCCTCTCTGTCTTTATTTCGAGACATCACCAGCCTGATCAGGGTTGGCATAATCCAAGAGCAATCTTTGATCCAGCTGAATTATATCCTGGATTGAAAATTTGCAAGAATTGGAGAAGTTTTTCTGAGAATAATAAAGATTTTCTCAAGTTGTGAGAGATTTCATTCAATCTATCTTAATTCCTTATATGGTAGTGGATAGAGTCGGGAATTGGCTGAATGAGCAGTAATGCAACATATATTGTTAACACATCAATAACAGGCTTCTCTTCGCAATTTTTTTAATTTCCAATAAACCAAGTTTCCTTGAAATTAGTGGAAAAGTTTGAAATTTATTGCTCATTTTTGCCAAGAAGGTGAGATTTAGTAGCAAAATTTTAGTGAACAATATTTATAGTGCTAAACAAAATAAGTTGACTGCATTAGAGGAAAATTTCAAGCTTTTTTGTCAAATAGTCCATACTCAGAGTTCAATTAAAAAAAATTATAACGGGGTTTTGGGGTTTTGGGGTTTTGGGGTTTTGGGG